TGAATACTATGAAATAATTAAACAAAATAATTATATTAGACAAATATATCATTGTAGATCAATTTACCTGGTCTCATCAATTTCAACATTACTGACACTTACAAATTGAAACACTAAAATCCAGATATATCATGTATATTATGGGACATTCTACATTTGGTATCAAATGTATATTTTTATTCTAATGTTGTCATGTACCTTTACATAAGAATGTAGGACTTTAACTCATGGCAGAGTAAGAGGGATTTCACCCACATGTGTCTCAGTTTTTCAGAATCTGAGTGTCAACTGTAAAGCCATTGGAGTCAAATTTGTGAATTTTTTGAATAAAAATTGACTTTAGTTAAGAATTACTCTTCTGCCAACTTGCTGACACCTGTGTCTGACTTTACTGTTTCATAAATCAAAGTTAAAAAAATTGCTCACCTTGCGTAGTGGTGCATCCATAATGGACCTCTTCCCGCCGATGGGACAGTTTGAGATGTAACACGCTGAACATAGAGACACAAGAAAAAGTAGGCACACGGATACAGCAGCTCCAGTCATTTCTGCTGAGAGAGTGAAGCAACGACACACAGGAGAAAAATTAAGAAAGTAATTTGAGCGACCAATCACAAAATCTTATGTTGAGAAAACAGAATTTACTCACTTGTTGCTTTAAAGTCAATGGATGACAAACTTCAAGTTCTTGTTTCAGCTGCGCCCAAATGATTCTCTCTGTTGAATTGTGCCGCTGACATGGCTTATATACTTCCAGAGCTTCTTTTGAGAGTGACACAGAAACCCAAAAGCCACTTAGAGGCCCTTAATGAGATCACTTTAGTTATTGTCACCTCCGGAGATGACGCTGACCGCTAGGCAGGCCGGGTCAAAAGGCCGGGCAACTATGTGGCCTGGATTGCGTTTTTTCCTTTGACAATCATTAGAGACGGGCTCTCGCTGCGTGACCGTGCATTTTGGAGATGACAGAGACTCAGAGAGGTCAGGAAGAGGATGGTGAGATGAAATAACCATGAGTGGCAACGAGTGTAGCACAACTTTGATCTCCTTTTCGAGGCCCATTAAGGAGTTCCTCTTAATTAAGTGTCTTTTCTGGGACAGAAATGAAGAAAAGAACTAGGTTCAAAGGTCATGAAAGGAAGTCCATCTCTGAATCTGGGCCTTCACAGCTGCCATTTTGGCTCCACATTGCTGGAAACAGGATTTGAAGCAGAGCGGATGTTTGTCAACAGGCTAAATCGTGACGCAAAGACACAAACATGCTCACACATCTACAAATGTTCCTTTCTGTTGATACATTTCTTAATTCCGCTCAGCAATTGACGCTCACGTGTGTCCAGGTCTGAGGTTAATTGGTTCCATGAGCTAATTAACACAGCTAATGATCAGCCACAACTCATAAAAGGCTGTTTCACTGTTTCAATGATATGAGCTCAATTACTGCAGCTCCATACTGATCTGCTTACTGCCACCTCTTCTCAATTAAAAACACGCAGATAACTAACTTCATTACTAACTTCTTTGTATTGGGGAAGGAGCAGGACACTGAGACGTGGACTCACATCAGTGTATTTAGACGTCACCCAGATAGATCTTGAAGTGACCATTTGAAGACATGAAGTGGCGTAGAAACTAGACTTCAGACAAAGAGACACTTCCGCCACCTAGTGTCTGTTTTGACACACTCCATCTATTTATGCATTTGCTTTTCATTGTCTCTTAATCATCCGTCATGCGTCTGCAGGAGGTGAAAACCAATAACATGATACTGTGAAATCCATCATAACAACACACCAGACTGTGCACAGAAAATTTCCATTTAAATAAAAGTAAATAACCGTCATGCAACAACTGTCTATACACCAAAGAATTGTGGTTTACTGAGGTTGAATTTGTTGCAGGGTTTTTCTTTGAAATTGCATTAATATATACATATAGTGCACAGCCCCTGCATGATAGAAACTATGCACATATCAATTGACGATCAGATTTACTGCAATTAGAAAACCTTAACTATTTTCCACCCCAAAGTTTCTTATGTTGTCCAAAAGCTCAAATGTTGTTTTATCCCAAATATAGAAGACACATGAAATTTGATATACTTTAAATATAACATCAGTCTTCATTAATAAGTGTTTGTTGGCTGGTTAAAGAGAGAAATCAGGAAGAAATTTTCCTCCAAAAGCTTTTGCAAATCCCTATTTCATAGAGAAATGGAGATGTCTATCTAGTGTTTCCTTATTTTTCTTCAGGAAGGCACTAGGCTTGTTGACTTCCTCTCCCCTCCCTTCCTTCCTTCTCTCCGAAGGTACTCATCTGAAAAATGAGAACAAAGTGATTGTTCCTGTTCTCTTTCTTAAGTCACTTCAAATGCTATCCGTGGACGGGCGGCTCATTGTCAGGAGAGTTGCAGTGCGAGCAGGAGGGAGAGAACGCTTGTTCAGGTACACCAGCAGCAGCTGCAGGAGCACCACCACCACAGCATCACAGAAAACACACTCAACTGGTGAGTTCCACACACAGGCTTCACTGCAGCCTCACACAAACACACACTTACTTACATGGCACTGACTGGCAGACAGGCGAGGAGGGGCTTCAGATTTTAATGGATTGCTCGGAATGCACGGTGTGGCAAAGTGTGGGCTGGGGTCTCTGCACCGTGCACTGAGGAGGGAGAGGTGAGGATGATGATCCACAAGAACATTTGAAACTGGCTGGAGAACACTGAAAAGTGCAGCATGGATATCAAGTTATAACAGAATCTTGAAGCTGAATAACATTCCTGTTGCATTGTGCATGTACTTTATGTTTTCAGCATATTACTGATAACAGATCTACATCCAAATTCCTCTGTCACTATGTATTTCTTTTTGCAGAGACAAAATAATGTGTTTGATAGTAAATTTATGAATGAATCTGTTGTCCCCGCAAGTTTTATTCATTTTCATCTTGGCTTGGCCGTATGATCAGCACCCCCGCCTTTAAAAGCATCCACATACTGTTCATCTCAGGTATGGAGAGTGATGATTGGTTGGTGTTGAATTAATGCCAAACGTACGTGGAGTGCTATCCACAGCAGGGATGCTAATCACGGCACAACAGAGCTTCTCAACTTCATCATCCTCACTTGTCACCATTTTTTCAATTCAATCATGTTTTACTCTGCATGTATAAGGTGACATGAATATGTGTAAACTGAATGCAAATTCTAGATTATTGAAATCTGCTGCTTTTCTTTAATTTATGGGATAATAAACTGATTATGTTTGTGTTTTGGACTATTGGTCACATGAAATAAGACATTGTAAGATGTCATCTTAGTTTTCAGGAAGCTTTAACGGACAATTCTTACTGTTTTCTGACAAAACAATGAAACGAATAATTTGAAAAAAAATCCCTATCTCTATACGATGACATATGACATCACATGCATCAGCAGCAGCAAACAGGGCATTAACATATAACAGACGTAGTAGACCGTGCAGTCATGCTAATATGGACTGACACAGATTCCAGCAGTTTCTCACTGATTAACACTGAGTTATTTACTGTAAAGAATCAATTAAAGGTCCAGTGTGTAAGATTTAGCTGAAAGGGAACTTTTGGCAGAAATTTAATGTAGAATAATCCTCATGATGTTTTCACTAGTTCATTTCATCTAAATTGTATGAATTGTGTTTTTTTTACCCCAGAAAACACCCTTTATATTTAAATACTTTATATTTACATAAGGGGGCCCTCTCTACGGAGGTCGCTATGTTTTTTACATTAGTCCAGACTTAACAAACTAAACACCTTTTGAGTTTTTATGAAAACTGAAGCTACCACAGGTTCTTTTTCATGTTTGGAAGGAGAGGGTGAGGTGAGGGGTGTTCAGCTGCAACATGCAACTTCAACACTAGATATCACAAAATTCTACACACTGTACCTTTAAGCACAACTTTTCTCAGTTCTATTTAAATGTCATGCAGAAGTAAGAAAGTTCCTCTCTGGTTATCAGCATCTCTTCATCCATGTCTATAGGACACACACACACACACACACACACACTGCAGAAATATTATGAGAAGTGAAAAGTATGCGGGAGGTAGAGGTGAGCGTTTCACAGTCAGCTTCCTAATTTCAGGAGAGGAGTAGACCTGTGAGAAAGGAGGAAGTGAAACGTTTCAGGTTGAACACTGAAAGGTGTGGGTGTGTGACATCATACTGTACGTGTGTGTGTGTGTCCAGCTTCGATTCCTCCCAAAGAAATCTTCAGATTCATATCATAAATAGAAACCAGACACAGAGACATTGGATGTATTTTTGTCAAGTCTTTCTCCAAATGATGTGTCTGTTTTTGAGGCTAGAAAGTAACTGCATACAACAAATACATAAATTGTACTAATACAAGTTTGAGGTATTGCTCTGCTCTTTCCATCTTATGCTTGTTTATTAATTTACTCTACATGCCAGGTGGAAATATTATAAATTTTTACCCCATTTATTTGATAGCTGCAGTTTCTAGTTAGGCTTCAGATTAGGATTACATATAAAACGACATGTGATAAATTTATAAAACCTCTTGCCAAAATTATCAGTGTCCAGCTGCGGCCTCTTGACAAGTGCACAGTGATTTCTCCCTTAATTAAAATAACAGTTTAAGGCCCAAAAAGCTAAAAGTGTCCGATACTTCATATCAAACTTGATGAAGCAGAACCACAGATGTCATCTTTTCTTTTCCACAAGTCCCTTTCCCATATCAAAATATGCTGAATGCATTACCCACAATGCATCACCAGATTTTTTTTCCATCTCAGTATTAGTGATTGGTCTTCAGCCCCATCAGAAGTTGTCTGATATCGCTTGAGGCAAATCATCACATGTCATGCTGCTCTCTCTGGAGCCACAATAGTTGTATTAATGCAATTCTAGCTCTCCCCAATACTTTTAAAGAGACTTTGATGTAAAATCAGTGGACGTTTAACCCCTCCCTCTATTTGTTCTAATGCAGAGAGAAGATGGAAGCAGATAGAGTGAATTTGTCTCCAAGAAGAAGTCCTCCTCTCAGAGATGAACTCAGACCAGCACCCCAGCACAGTTTCTATCTCAGTCCTCCTCCACTCTATATCAAACCCCCCAAATTCTCCCTTCCCAGATACCCCAGGCTCTCACCCACCACTGACACCTACAGCATGTTCAGCTCACCGGCTTTCTTTCCCTTACTTGGCCCTGGTTACACTCCAAAGGAGGGATCCCAGAAACGCAAAAGAACTCCTTTCAAAATGGATGCCCAAGGAGGTGAATCACCTGACAGAGGAGAGGAGGAGGCAGGAGAGAGCAGCAGTAAGAAGACAGTAGACCTCTCCCACATCCCCTTGTCTCTCCCTCTTCACACCATTCCTTCCCCAGCTCCAAAACCCCTCCCTGGTATGATCGAGCTCAACAGACTGCAGCTTCATCAGCGATCACCGGGTATGCATCTACCTGTACAGGTGAAACAGGAGCCTCTCAGTCCTTCCCCAGTTTGGCCTCCCTCCCCTCTCCTTCTCCATCCTCCCTACTTCCCACCTCTCCACCACAGCCTCTTCCCATACCCCTTCTTCATGCCCAGCCCTGTAATGCACCTCTCCCCTGGCGCCTTCTACCCCAGAGAGGGCCTCCGACCCGGTCATCGTGCCCGTGACCGAGCTTCTCGAGGCGGGGCAACCAGCGCTGAGAAGCTGGGGTTGGACATTCACGTGGATGACAGTTACTATGTCGATGTCGGAGGTGACCAGAAGCGATGGAAGTGTCGCATGTGTGACAAGTCGTACACCTCCAAGTACAACCTGGTCACGCACATCCTGGGCCACAATGGCATCAAGCCGCACGGATGCCACTTGTGTGGGAAACTTTTCAAGCAGCTGAGTCACCTGCACACTCACCTGCTCACACATCAGGGCATGAGGCCCCACAAGTGCCAGGTGTGCCACAAGGCCTTCACCCAGACGAGCCACCTGAAGAGGCACATGATGCAGCACAGTGACGTGAAGCCATACAGGTGAATGAAGGTGTCAGGTTTTTATTTCTGCCTAATTTTGTCCAAATCTTCCTTCTCACACACACACTTTAAATTCTGCCCCCTCCAGCTGCAGCGTGTGTGGCCGAGGCTTCGCCTACCCCAGTGAGCTCCGTGCCCACGAGCTGAAGCATGAGAAAGGCCAGGAGAACGTGTGTGTGGAGTGTGGTCTGGACTTTCCCACACTGGCTCAGCTGAAGAGGCACCTGACCGCTCACCGCGGACCCACCCTGTACAGGTGAGCAGAAATATGATTCTTTCTTTTGCTGAAATGTGATCATGCACTGTTAAAGCAATAGTTTGAAATACCCTTGTTCATTTTCTTTTTGAAAGTCAGATGACAAGATTGATACCAGTCTTATGTCTGTTCTGGAAATGGGGAAGACTGTATAATCGCACCTCTAAAAATAAGTACTTTAATCTAACCCTTATCTGTACAGAAACCGAAAATAAAAAGCGACAATTTCTAATTTCATTTTATTTAAACAAAAACCAAAGTGTAAAAGTTTTTACGAGCTGCTCTGTTTCTTGGCTGAAACCGTTGAGAAGTCAGAGGGAGTTCAGAGAATGTTACTGCTGCAGGCAAAGAGATAATCTGGCACATAAACCCCTTTGTGAAACTGCAACATGTTCTTACACTTGGGATTTTGTTCAGATGAAACAGAGGAGATAAAACATGATAATCATTGAGCTTTGCAGCAGCTCGCAGGTGGATTTGTTACCTTTGGTCAGACCCATCCCAGCTGTTTCCACCAGCTCCCCCTCTTTGTGCTAAACGTATCTCTCAGTCGCTATATATTTGACAGATATGAGAGTGGAATCAGTCGTTCCATATAATTTTGGGTAAGAAAGTGAATAAGTAAATATTTCAAAGTAATGCTTGAACATTTCAGTTCTTTATTTGACTGTATAGAAGGAGGTTATACCTCTTGTTCCTGCAGGTGTGCAGAGTGCCAGAAGACCTTCCAGTATCCGAGTCAGCTTCAGAACCACATGATGAAACACAAAGACATCCGACCATACATCTGCAGCGAGTGTGGGATGGAGTTCATCCAGTCACACCACCTGAAACAGCACACGCTCACTCACAAAGTAGGTTTCATGAGGAGAACCAAGAGAAACGATGCAGTATTTTCTCCATGTTTTTTTTGACAGGGACTGGAAGAATAACCACGGATTTTGGAATCAATTTTGCTGTCACGTTAAAACTCGCCCATTACTCCTTGTTTACATCTTTGATTATGAAGTTTGGACTCTGTTCTAACAGGTTTCTTTGGCGGCTGTTTTCAAGCACCTTAAATTCAGACCCCTGATTTTATTTTACCCATTAACATCCAGCTTTCATCCTTTATTTCCCCTCAAGTAACTTTAGGATTGGAAGAAAACATTTTATTCAACAATGCTTTACTGTTCAGTGTACACTGTGTTAATGTGTCCCAACTCTTGACTGAAGCAATTCAAGATTTGATGTTTTGTGGTTGCACCATAGCATCTAGTGAAAATATTCTAAATGTATTTTGCACCATTTCATGCACATTCTCCCAAAACTCAGCCTGATGTATTTGGTATATCTGGAAATGTTGGTCTTTCCAATAGAAATTAAAATAAAGATCCAACAGACCAACACTTGTAGCAATCAGAAAGCAGTCTGTCAACTACATGTCTCATGCCACATACTTCCACATTCTCTTGTTCTCCAGGGCGTGAAAGAGCATAAATGTCGCATCTGTGGGCGTGAGTTTACCCTGTTGGCCAACATGAAACGCCATGTCCTCATCCACACCAACATTCGGGCCTACCAGTGCCACATGTGCTTCAAGAGTTTCGTCCAAAAACAGACTCTCAAGGCTCACATGATCGTCCACTCGGACATCAAGCCCTATAAATGCAAGGTTAGTCAAATATAACAGTACAGAGTTCCTCCTTTGGTCACTGATGAAAAGAAATGTTGCTAAACTCTACAGCGACCATAAACATTTTCAATAAAACATTGTAGTTGAACATGAGGGAACACTTTTTAATTTACCATTTTCCATTGGCAGTCAACATGGCTTTCATTTATCAGTCATTCTTTTACCTTAACTGAGTTGTCATTTTTGCGACCATGAAACACTAACAGCACTTACCCAAAACACATTTCCCTAATCCTTAGCGAGTTCTTTCTGAAGGTCGCCTCATCAGTTATATTTTAATTCTATTAAACATGTTATCCTGATAGGGGGTCAAACACAGTTGCAAATGGCAGTTAGTCTTAGCTAATTAACCTTTTGTTTAAGGCCCAAAAAACCAAAGTGTAAAAATATGTTGCAGCATAAGAGGGGGGGTTATGTGGCCAACTTTGTCACAACTGGACCAACACAAGAAAACGGTTCCCTCAATTTCACTGTTTAGATTGAAGATCATTATTGTCATCGTACTCAGGTACAATGAAATTGAAAGAGGCTTCTCTCCAAAGGTAGAGAAGATATATAGTGTGAAAACCTATAGATAAAGGTATCAATACTCAACGTGCTGTCGTTATCGTAAACCAAATCATATTTATTGATTACTACAGCCTGGAGTATTTAGCGGCTCTTAAAGGCCTCGACACTTTTCTGCAGTGTGTGTTTTGACCTTGGTGTTTGGTGTGACGACTGAGACGATGACCAGATAGCAGAGAGGCTTTTGGCAGTGGGAGCCTCCTTGTCCATAGGAAGGATATCGCCGCACAAACTGCCTCTCTAACAATGGCCCCCCAGCCTCCCCGGAGGACGGGGCCCGCAAATAGATTTCATCTCGCTTTCTCTGCTGCTGGAGGGAGCTTCCTGTTTTCTCACGGTCCTCTTGGACAGTTTACAGTCCCTCTCTCCTCCTGAAGGAAAGGACCACCCTAATAAAAAAGAATGCAGAGGAAGGACAGCGCAGGAGTTGCCCTTCCCTGTTCTCCTCCTGGCTCTATCCCCATGTTGCTTCCTCTCTCTCTCTTTCGCTCTCTCTCTCTCCCTGACGCACAAGAAAAACAGAGAGAGAGAGAGAGAAGGAGAGAGAGACGAAGACAAAGACGAAAAACGGAAAACAAAGATATAGGGAGGATGTGTGTTTGTGTGTGTGTGTGTGTGTTTGTGTGTGTGCCTGCACATTCATTCATGATTACGTGTAGCTTTGCATTCTGAAAAAATGAGTCATCTAACAAAGGAGATTCGGCAGAGAAGGAAAAATAATAGATAATAGATGTTTTGAGGTAAAAGTACTCTATGAGTATTATCAATTTCTGATTCTTTTTAATTTGGAGACTACAGGTTTCATATTCTGGTTTTAACTGTCTCAATTGAATGATTCATAGATGATACTGAAAAAACTCAGGCATGTTTAGGGGACTTATATTAATGTATGTGCGAGTGTGTACAATTTGTTGCAGATCCAAATAATAATAATAGTATATAAATAAATGATAGTAATATGGATCTTGTGAATTGGGCCTTAGTGTGTGCTCTAAGTGACATTCTAGTTCTGCTTTTAGTTTTCATGCTAAGCTTCGCTAACTGGCTGTTGGCTCGAGCCTCATAATTCATATTCATGCATGAGATTGGTATTGAACCAATCTCATGCATGAGCTTATTTAGAAAAAATCTTGAACTTTTTCTTTAAGCGAGGACCTGAAATCTTGTTAACTGTGTAAGACCTGTTGGAAGACTTATTTAAATGTTAAAAACATATCTGGTCATACCCTTTTTTCTCCCAGCTTTGTGGAAAGGAGTTCAACAGGATGCATAATCTGATGGGCCACATGCATCTGCACTCAGACAGCAAACCCTTTAAATGCCTCTACTGCCCGAGCAAGTTCACGCTGAAGGGAAACCTCACCAGACACATGAAGGTCAAACATGGCGTCATGGACAGAGGACTGGATGAGAGACGTAAGGATCCTCAAATCTGCACTTTACTGTTCATGGCGTGCAACATGTTTTGTCTAATCATCTTTTCTCATGTTTCAGTGTTTAGGCAAAGGGGCCGTTTCTGCCTGACCACTCCGATGGGCCTCCTCACCCACTTCAGACAAGAGGAGCCGTTTGACCTTTCCCAGAAATCGCCAGGCCTGCCCAGCCTCCGTCTCGCCCAGTCTGACGGCGAGAGCGTCCCGGGGAGCTCATGTCAAGAGGAGGAGGATGAAGAGAGTTTGTACAGAAGGAGCCAGTACAGCCCGGAGGTGGACCATCACGAGCCCGCAGGCGAGGAGCAGTACAACCCTAAGCTGGAGGAGAGAGGACAGGGATCTCCAGGCGAGAAACAGACGTACCAGCAAAGTTTGACTCATGACACGGGGGCTGTGGGAGAAGAAAAAACATCATCTGTAGATCCCAGAGGTGACCAGGTGCAACTCCTGCAGTCAGAAACCTCCTGCGAATCCGATTCAGAGCCAGGTGATGAGGAGGCGTACCCCCATGAAACAGGCTACAGGCAGACATGTGACTCAGAGATGGAAGATCTTCACAAGAGTTAGATGAGCCAGAGCAAAGCAAACAGCAATGAGATGATTTTTATGAGGCGGTGATCGATGAGGAAGAAAGAAACCAGAGCGGTGTGAAGGCAGCTGAATTTACAAGCACAGAGGATGAAGAGGAGCAGAGAGAATGAGGAAAAGTAGAGGAACAATTGAGGAAGATGCAGGTTTTGGGGGACGCTGATGTTTTTTTGTTGTTGTTTCAGGACACACTCCCCTGAGGAGAGAGTAGTGAGTAGGTCTCTAAATATGAATTAAAAATTAAAGCTGTGAAGCAAACTGCATGTACAGAACACATTTAGCAGAAGGTTGTGATTAGGATGTGGCTTTTCAATGAATAAAATAAAATAATGTTGCAGTGTTAACACAAATATGCAATTTTGATTTAACTTTGACTTGATTTTTTTTGACTTGTTCATTAGTGGGACAAGGAACTCATCACATTTATATGACAAAGGTTGATTAAATAAACAGATTTTATTTTATGTCTAACGTTTAGATTTCTTTTAACATAACTTTGTTAGTTTTGGAGAATGGCTGTGTTTTTAATGTCAGTGATGATAAGTGATTATTCTGCTAAATAAAGACAAAAATAAAAGCTTAAATGAATGAACCTGTGCAGTGAATCTTCTGTTTGTGTCTTCAGATGCCGTATAAACCTCCCCACGACTGTTTTTTTTGTGCTCCCAGATATAAAATCTCAATTGTTAGCGTCTCGCACATACTTTAGCAAACCTCATATGATTGCTGTGAGTTTCAAAAAAACATGCTTTTCTCCTCCTGCTTCACTTTCAAAGCAGAGGAAGAGGAAGAGAAAACACCTCTCCCCTTCTCTCTTTTAGGTTGTGATCAAACGGCAGTGACGGACACAGTAGGTGTCTCAGACAAAGGCTTCATATGTCTGTATGAGTCAGAATAAAGCATTGTTTCTGCTCAATGCAGAAGCCCCACTGCAAATAGAAATACAAGTGGATCGTAAAATCTGTTTTACAAAACAGTAGAATAACCAACATTGTCATACAGTTTGGCAATGTCACATATATCTATAGGATATATAGGAAAACATATCATTTAAAGTATAATTTACTGTGTTTCTATCCAGACTGTGATATAAAACCCAGCTCATTGGGCTTTGGTATCATGGTGTATGTCACCGAGCTGGTTCAGGTGAAAGATTCATTTCTTTTCAGATGAAATGCAGAACAGCAGCTTCTCTATTCTCACCAGGGACGACCACCGTGTCCTAAAGGGTGAAACTGCAAACAGTTTGAGGAAGTTCTCACATCCTCCTCTCCTTTCCTTTCCTCTCCTCACCTTCACATTTCAATCCCTGCTGCTTGCTCAGAGAGGAACTGCAGCGACTGGATACACTGTGGGTTTCAGTTTTTTTTTTAATCAACGTGTCCTCTCTAGAATCAGCTCCTCTGCTGAGTACCGTGCTGAGTCATCGCTGAAGACCACAGTAGACACACATGCACATTTAATGGACTTTTTAACTGTGCAATATTCAGCTCTGCCGGTGAAATACAATGGTTCATATTCTGTTCTTACGTCATTTATAGTTTTCATTTATGCCTTTCAACATAAGTATTCGATGCTACTTAATTAGTTCTTTACTGATTTTTATTTTTCATTGACCTCTTACTGCTGTAACTTTGCAAATGTCCCCACTGGGGGAATTAAGGATCAACTTATCTTATTTGAATAATGGGTAAAACTGATCACAGCACAGAGATGCAGTGAAAGATGATGTTTCAGATGTTGACTTTATTGGTTTTGTGTGTTTTTAATGAAATGAAACTTCAGTGCTCATGAGAATCCGCACAGACACAGGAGAACAGGTAGATACTGAAGGGATGGGAAAATTACCTCTGCTGTAAGACACAATGGTTCTGCTTTGCAATGAAATTAACATGATAATTATTACCATGACAACATGATGTCGACACGATGACAAGAAAATGTTTCATTAGAAAATGAATTAATTCAGATCATCCAGATTTCACGATTTGAGACTTCGAGAAGCTTTAAATTACAGGGAGGCAGCAACAAATTATTTTTTTCAGTATTATCTAATCTGCTGATCTTCAGTTCACTGTGATGAACATTTTTGAAAACAACAGTAGTAAGGTAACAACTAGTAAGGATTTGATTACTCCATTAATTATATCATCTCTGGGGACATTACATGTTATAGAATATTAGTAATTTAATATCATCTTGTGGGTCAAATTTTATTAGCTGTTATTGTCTTTACTATTAAGTTATAATTAATATTTTCTAAAATCTTTTTGAGTCAATATTATAACTGATTCACCATTTTTCAATGATCTTGTTTGTGTTCCACTAGCCTGTATGAAAAGTACCGTACAAATAGATAAGGTTTGACTAAACAAGTTCAATATCTGATGGAGCTGGAAACTGGTTTAGTTCAGGTCATTCATAAATGTTTTCTTGTCCATTGATAAAGTGCTGATCAGATTATCCATTGATTGCTTGATTGACAGGAAATTAATCTTATCTGATCTTAATCTGATCTCCTTTGTTTCATATCACGTAAATATATTTAGATTCTGGAACTAAACTAATCACATTTTACACAATTCCCTTACACTTTGATTTATTGATAAAGGAAAAATGTTATGTTGTTATAGCCCAACACATTCCCTTCAAAATGTACTGAGATGTTATGCAGTCAAAATAATTACTGCACATTACTCATGAAATACAGATAAGAACACTTAAGAAAACTGGAAGTGTTTTTCCCATGTTTCATAGTACTAAGAATACATACATTTGTATGCAAACACCAGACATCTGTCCCTCTTGCTGGAAAACACCCCATGCAATTCATTTCGTATCATGTATAATCAATTTTCACAGTGTCACAAGCCTCTCTGTCTCCATTATCTACTCAGATACCAAAATCAGATACAACACGGTGGAAGTGAAATAAAAAGGGAAGCAGACAGGGGATGAAAACAAATAATTCACCTCACTTCTTGGAACCACTTTCACAAACACCTTTTCAGAGTGGAAGAGTGTGGGAACAACATTGATATTGACTTTTTAAAGAAAATGAATGTATTGCTACTTGCAAGATTAACATTTAATGTCCAAGAAACAAAATAGCATGAAGAATATTTGACTCCATTGGTGCTTAATTCCTGAAAAGAGGCCATATCCCTTGTTTGTATGTTTAGGACTGTCCACTTCCTGTCTGTTCTCTGTGGTGCAGCTCAGGTAAGAGCTTCCTGTTTTGCTGGACAGTGAGAAAATTAGATGGCGCTGACATTTCTTCCATGTTTTGTTTTATTAAACTGTCCCACCCCAGACTAAACCTGTTACCTCCTCTGACCTGCAGCCAGGGTGTTGACTGTAACCCCAGTTGACGACTGTCCTCCTGTGCACAGAACAAAACCCTGGCTCACTGACAGAGAGGTGAGGGGACACATCAGGTCAGTGGCCCTGCTATTCACAGACACGTTTAGACATATTTAGACTCAGCTTTAAAACAGCTCAGCTCTGTGTTTTTAATGTGATGTACTATCTGCTTCATTGTGACAGTGTGTTACTGATTTATTGTTTTTAATATTTCAAACACAGCTGGAATCTGTTCTGACAAACTTCAGGAAACAGTTATCAATGATGCTGGGATTCTAACATTGAGACTTTTTGTGGGTTTTCAGCGCAACGGTACAAAGTGAAGCTCTTACACTTTCACTTCTGTCTACTTATCTGCTCCTTCTCCTCCTTTAATAAACAGCACCCTCTGCTGTCTGTTCTTTATGAGCCAAGTGTGAACGATTGCAAAGAATATGATTTAGCATTAGTTCCAAAAAAGAATGAAAACTAAGAGTAAACTACTAAATAATAAAGAACATTTTAAGAAATGAAATTAAAGTCTATTTACAGAAAATGATTTCACTACATTGGTCCTGCTCAAGAGTTCTCATGTAAATTATTTTCATATTCAAGACGTATCTTCTTTTATGAGATGATTTATAAGCACAGTGATGCGACAGAGTTACTTTGATTCCACCCAGCCAATCAATGTATGTGTGTTTTATTCATGGCAACAACTTTGTGCAATAACAACAGTCCTCAACATTCTACATCAAATGTATAGAATAGAATAAAAAAGCTTTTGTTTTCCACTTGTGTGAAAATGTTTTCTTTGGCAGAGCACATGAAGTGATAATATGTTACTAAAAAAAGTCCCATGACAAAGACAGTTCACACACACAAGTACACACACACACACACACACACACACAC